ACCCCCCATTACTTTTCTCTATGGTGTATATGCATGAGGGAGCACCATGCTATGCATGTGGAGGTCAGAGGACATCTTGCAGGGGTTGGTTCTCTCCTTCCACCATTTGATACCAGGGATAAACTCAGGTCTTCAGGCTTGGCAGCACATGTCTACACCCACTGAGCCATCTCACCGGCCCCTCCTTCTTTTTTTTTGAAACATATAGTGTCTCACTGTGTAGCCCAGGCAGGCCTCAAATTCTGGGTCCTCCTGCTTCAGCCTCCTATGTGCTAGAACTGCAGACACGTGTATGTCACACCCCGCTCCCCTTCCTTTTTATACAGTTATTTTACATGCTGGTTGTCTGCAGTGTTACGTGGGATGGAAGGTGGGGAATACGAAAGACTTGGACATGAGGGAAACCCTCCCCACTGGCCTGCCAGCGTTGGTGGCTGCCTTTACCCCAGGGGTCAGTGTCAAGTACAGTCAGCCTCTGCTGACTGTAGGGTGGCCAGAGGCTGTGGTGTAAAGAGTTGCCCAATCTTGTCGTTAGTCTGCAGGACTAGAAAGGACTTTACTCCTTCACGGCAGATCACTGTGGTAGGAGTACAGGGACAGTAGACTCCTTTTAGATCCCCCTGGGACAAGTCAAGAAAAATAGATTGTAGTTGTGGATCTTGACTGAGCCAGACTTGACTTTCTGTGGCCTTCGGCTTAAGTTCAGGTCGTGGAGAAAAATGGTATAGTGACTGAAAGCAGGTGCTCACTGGTTCATTCTCTACTGGAGAACAGGACGGGTGAAGTGAAGAAAGATGTGCTCGGCCCCAGCATCGCACAGTCAGTGTCCAAATAAGAAGAGCAGGTCAGCTGTGAGAACAGACAGGAAGTCTCTGATACCACTGTCCATAGTATTGATACAAGCAGTGACTGCCAGGAGAGACTGTCACTGCCCATAACTGCAGAGCCTGGTGACTTTGTTATGATTCCGTGCCCACTAGATGGTTTCCAAAAGACCTTGCTTCCCAGGTGGCCTTTCTGGAGGTGCAAAATGTGTTCATCAAACACATAACCATAAGATCCCTCCTTAAATTTCCTATAATAAATTGTTAAACTATGCATTACCAGCTTGTTAATACCCTGTCAATGATGAGACCTTCAGAGAATGCACTTCTACATTTACAAGGTGAGGCTAGACCCCATACTAAGGTCATTTTACCCTCCATAGCTGTTAGGTACAGCCACAACATCTTTATATCTAGAAGAAATACACGTAATTTAATTATCAACCAGGGGTGGTGGTGTACCCCTTTAGTCCCAGCACTGGGGAGGCAGAGGCAGGTGGATCTCTGTGAGTTCAAGGCCAACCTGGTCTACATAGTTCCAGGCCAGCTGGGCCTACAGGGAGACCCTGTCTCAAAATGACCAAAAAAAAAAAAAAGGCAAACAAGTAATTAACCAATTGATTTTAACCTGCAGTTGCTAGAAAAATGGAAATCTCAAGACAGCAAAGACTTAACTTGTAGATGGGAGCTAGGGAGTAGGAAGTTGCTTTTAATAGTGAGAGGCAGTGGAAAATAGAGGCTCACAAGCCTTGGGTATGCTGGGAGCTTCCTGTTGAGAACTACTGTTTGCCTCATGTTATTTTTGTATGGAGTGGGAGGGTTCCCAAAGTCTGCCATTGGGTCTGATGGGGCGTCTGTGGTGTCGCGCCTGTCTCTCTGAAGGCCTCTTGTTTATCGCCCTAATAGGTGGGAGATGAGGGGGCCGGACACTTTGTGAAGATGGTGCACAATGGGATAGAGTACGGCGACATGCAGCTGATCTGCGAGGCTTACCACTTGATGAAGGATGTTCTGGGCATGGGGCATGAGGAGATGGCCCAGGTGAGTCCCAGGCATTGCCTCCACCTGAGTAATCACTACTCAGATGAGAGGACTTGCTACTGCAATTAGCCCTTCCTCCTTCCCGTCCCCCTGGCTGTCTGGTCTTCCTCATGGACTCAGCCTAATTTAAAGGAAGCTATCAGTAATGGCATCATAAAATCTGATAGCCAGTCCTGAAGGAGTAAGTTCCCAAGGAATCTCATTGGTCGCCAGTTAGTGAGCCTGCTTGTCAGCACTCTGTCCTTCATATGCAACCCAGGGCCTGGCCTCAGGCATGCCAGGCAAGTACCCTGCCGGCACGGTCCCCACCCTCATTCTCTTCCTAGTCCTACAGTTCCCCCACAGGGGAGGTGGTCGTTGTCTGTTGATCAAGTTAGGGCTGGATTTTTGGAAGTTATCCAAAAAAGTTCATCCCATGGCGAAGCACAAGCATTTTGCCAACATTTTGTTATGGAAGTATTCCCACACTGTGTGTACACCGCCTGGATCTCCCATTAGCATTTCACTGTACTTAGTACATCTGCCCACATGCCAGGCTCATCTGGCATAGAAACATTGCAGAGTAAACTATAGGTGTCAGTACTCTTTTCCAATATCATTCAGCATCATTAGGTAAGCATTTAATTATAGAGGAAGATATGCTTTACCAATCATTTTAAAAATTCTTTTATTTATTCTTTGACAATTTTGTACATATATACGATGTATGTATGTATCTTGATCATATCCACCCCAACTTCCGCACACATACACCCTCCCTCTTGTGTGTGTGTGTGTGTGTGTCACTGAGTCTTATTAGTGCAGCCTGCTGGAGTACTGACTGATCTTGTGGGCTTGCAGTGAGCTCATAAGGGCAATGGCCCTGTCATGTCAGAACGCAGCATTTCACAGCACTCCTCCTCATCCCTTGCCCTTAGTCTTCCCGTCCTCTCGTCCGGTCCGTGGTGTTCCCTGAGTCTAGGGGGTGTTGATATAGATGTCCATTTAGGGCTGAGCATTTCACAGTCATTATTCTCAGCTCTTTGACCGGTTATAATCTGCACCAGTTGTTGCCCACTGCTGAAGAAACTTCTCTGGCCAAAATTAAGAGCAGCACTAATCTATGAGCATAAACATAAATGTTTAGAAAGCAGATAGGGGACTGGAGAGATGGCTCAGCAGTTAAGAGCACTGACTGCTCTTGCAGAGGACCTAGGTTTGGTTCCCAGCACTTACATGGCAGCTAACAACTATCTGTTACTCCAGTTCCAGGGGATCCAACACCTTCTTCTGACCTCTGTGGGCATTGCATGACATGGGTGCACTTATACATGCAGGCAATACACTCCTACACGAAAAATAAAATTATTTTTTTAATTAGAAGACAATTTGAGCCTGGCACTTGTAAGGGAGAGGCAGGTGGATATTTCTGAGTTCATGCCTTTAATCCCCAGCACTTGGAAGGCAGAGGCAGGTGGGTATCTCTGAGTTCATGGTTAGCCTGATCTACATAGCGAGTTCCAGGCCAGCTGGGGCTATAAGGAGACCCTGTCTCAAAAATGCCAAAAAATTAATTAATTAAATATTTTAAAAAGAAAGCAAGTTGACATGTCAGTTTAGTAAAACAGTAGTAGATTACCCTCTAGAGCCCATGACCCCCTGAGCCCTGGTCTTTTGAACCAGGTTTACAGTCCCAAGCATGAATTCCCTCCTGTGGAGGGCCTTAAATCCTATCAGAAAGCTATTGATTATAACAGTGGGCCTGTCTGCCTGGCAGGTCAGAATTGCTGAATTCAGGGTTCACTGCTACGTCACCCCATCTTTCTCCCCAGCCGCCTGCATAGCACTTCCTGGCACTAGAAAAGCTGGCCTGCAGGAAGGAGGTTTCCAGCTCAATTCCAACTTGATTATGGCCTGCAACCAAAGTGTGTTATGTCTTTAGTAATGGGGTCTTGCCATCTAGTTATGGTGGGCACCCAAGAGCAATGGCAACAGCCTCTGTGGTTTGGGGGGCTTCTAGGGCCTCCCTGACCAATGACTTATGTGATACAACTTGCCACAACATAGAATCACATGGGAAGGGGGTTGTCATGCACTGGGTGGTGTGTGCTAGACTGTCTTCAGTTCATTGATGCGGGAAGACAGCCTGCTGTGGGTGGCACATTCCAGCAGGGTCCTGAACTGAATGAGAATAGAAATCAGCTGGGCTAGAGGCACTCGAGCATGAACACAGTCATTTCTTAATGCTCTTTACCGTGGCTGGGATGTGCCAGCTGCTCCATGCTGCGGCCTCCCCACAGTGATGTACACTGGACTTGTGAGCTAAAATAAGTCCCTTTCCCCTCTAAGTTTGTTTTTTTGTCACAGTGTTTTATCACAGCAACTAGAAATGAAACTACGATAACTCGTAAGGAGCTATCCTGTGTCTGGCACCGAGACTTTAACTTAATAGCCATGCCTTCTTGGGGCGGCTTTATCCACCCATGTTAATCATTTTTATAGAGTCAAGGTGTGTGTCTCTGTGTGTGTGTGTGTGTGTGTGTGTGTGTGCACGCGCGCGCACGCGCAGTACTGGGGACTGACCCAAGACCAGGGCCTCATGGGCTGTCATAAGAGCTTTACCCCAAGCCCCTCATACTTACACTTTGAAAGCTGTTTGTTTCACTGGTTTTGGGGTTGTTCTTTCTAAAACATTTAACTTGTTTCATAGAAACATTTAACTTATTTTTCATAGTTTTTCTGTACGTATTTAATTGGTTTGCATAATACTTAATGTGTTCATTCACCAAACATGAGTACTTTATGTAAGATGCAGTTCTAAATGCATGTATGTATGTATGTATGTATGTATGTATATTCAGATGCAGTGTTTGCCTATCATATGCAAGGCCCTTGGTATATAAAAGTACGTAATAATGAAGGCAACCAAAGTTGCCCTCAGGAGCTAGAACACACAATAATAATTAATATACAGTATAAATTATTATAAACAACTTATAAATTATAAATAATTATCATAAACAAAAGTGAGCTGGGATACGACACAAGTTTTCTATTTTTATTTTTGTGTGCTGGTGTGGAACCCAGGGCTTCATGCTTGCTAAGTATGTGCTCTGCCACTGAGCTATACTCCAGCCCTAAGAGAGAGGTTTTAGATGGGCATCATGGAAGGCTCCCAAGGAAGTGACAGTAGTACAAAGACCCAAATGAGGGGCTGGAGAGATGGCTCAGTGGTTTAGAACACTGGTTGTTCTTGCAGAAAATCCAGGTTCGAATCCCAGCACCCACACGGCAGCTAACAACTGTCTGTAACTCCAGTTCCAGGGGATCCTATAGCCTCTTCTGCCCTCTGCGGGCATTGTATGACACGAGTGCACTTACCTACACGCAGGCAATACATGCATACACATTAAATAAAAATAATAAAATATTTTTTAAAAAAAGACCCAAATGAAGTAAGGAGCTTGGCTCCAAGGAGAGAACAAGTCCAGTGATGAGCAAAGTCTAAATAGTAGGGTGGCCTGTTGAACACAAGACTCAGTCAGCAGGGGTGGAAGTCTGTAGGCTGCCTGGGGAAGAGCCCACGTGCTCAGCAATGTAACACAAGACTCAGTCAGCAGGGGTGGAAGTCTGTAGGCTGCCTGGGGAAGAAAGAGCCCACGTGCTCAGCAGTGCGGCGCTGGCTGCCCTACAGAAGGACAGCAGACAGCGAGCATTTTTGCAGAGCCACCTCTCACCTGGCTTTCCTCCCACGTGCAGACATTTGAGAAGTGGAATAAGACAGAACTAGACTCCTTCCTGATCGAAATCACGGCTAATATCCTCAAGTTCCGGGATGCTGATGGCACAGAGCTGCTGCCAAAGATCAGGGACAGCGCCGGGCAGAAGGGCACTGGGAAGTGGACTGCCATCTCAGCCCTGGAGTATGGTGTTCCTGTCACCCTCATTGGTAACATTCTACTTTTCACCTGAGCCTTTGATCCCACTCTTCTCCCCTGACGTCCTTCTGGATACTGTCCTGGACAGGTGTCAGAGGCGTCTTTTGACCCCAGCCAGCTCAGAGCTCCCTGTCTCTCTTTGACATGGGAAAACTCATTCTTAGGGACTCTGAGGTCAGTGCAGAGGTTGCCGTCCTTTCCCTGCAGTTTTAACTGGAGTATTTCAGTGTTTGTGATTTACTTATAGTCAGTAGCCTGAGGTCTCTTGGTTTGTTTCTTCTTGAGACAGTTTTGCTAAGTAGTCCAGGTTGGCCTCGAACTCGGTCTTCTTGTCTTGGCCTCCTGATGCTGAGATTAGGGCAAAGCCTGGCTTGTTTGGCTATTCTTCCAGGATTTCTTTATGAAACGTCACAGAATATTGCAGTTTTGTGTATGTAGTTAGAACTCATTAATATTTTACAGGTTCTGACCCCAGATACTAGAAAAATAGGATATAACCCAAGTTCCTTCCCTTTGTCACTTAGAAGAAAACCATTATCTGTGTTATTTTCTGACTACATAGCCAACTCGGAAAGAGAGAGAAGGCTAGAGACACAGCTTAGTGGCTGTTGTGCTGGCCTTGCGTGCATGAGGCCCTGAGTGTGATTTGGGGGCCGGGGGCGATCAGGAGCAGCCAGAAGATGAGAAAGTAAGAAAACCAAAAGCTGGTTCTTTCTTTCTTTTCTTTCTTATATATTTTGTTTTACTGTTTTTTGAGATGAGATTTCACTGTGTAGCCCTGAACTCACAGAGCTCCACCTGCCTCTGCCTCCCAAGTGCAAACTGGTTAGTTTTTGTTGTTTTGTTTTGTCTTTTTGAGACAGAGTCTCACTATGTTGCCCTGGCTGGCCTGGAATTTCGTATGTAGACCAGCTCCACCTCCCGAGTCATAGGATTAAAGACATACACCACCATACCCAGCTTAAAAACTGGATTTGTTTTGTTTCATTTTTATGTGTATGAGTATATTGTCTGCATATATGTAAGTGCACCCATGTCATGCAGTGCCCTCAAAGGTCAGAAGAGGATGTCAGAGTCCCTGGAACAGGAGTTAGGGATGGTTATTAGCCATCATGTGGGTGGCTCTGTGGAACCCAGGTCCTCTGTAAAAGCAGCTAGTGCTCTTGACCGCTGAACTATTTTTCTAAAAACTGGTTCTTTAAGAATAAACTAAAAGCCAGGCACAGTCTACTTCTAGTCATGGTTACTCAAGAAGCTGTGACAGGAAGATCACTTGAGTCGAGTCGTTCAAGATCTATGGGCAACATAGAAAGACCCTGTCTTAAATTTTTAATTTCTGTGTGGTGTAGTGTGTGTACACCTGTGCAGATCCACGTGCCCATGCCTGCACATGTGCATTTCTCAATAATTTTCTACCTTGTTTATTCAATTAAATAATTTTTAAAAATATTTATTGGGGCTGGAGAGATGGCTCAGCAGTTAAGAACACTGGCTGTTCTTGCAGAAGACCCAGGTTCAAATCCCAGCACCCACATGGCAGCTAATAATTGTCCGTAATTCCAGTTCCAGGGGCTCCGACAGACTCTTCGGCCCTCTGCAGGCATTGCACAACACAGGTGCACTTACCTACATGCAGGCAATACACACATACACATAAAAATAATAAATTAAGCTGGGTGTGGTGGCGCACACCTTTAATCCTAGCACTTGGGAGGCAGAGGCAGGGGGATATCTATGAGTTCAAGG